TCTTGGTAAATATTGCACTGAAGATTTTATGTCAAAATTTCATCAGAAATAAATAATTCTTCACACAATTTGTGAACTAATTATTCACAAGTAAAAGAAGTAAAACGTATTTTCTCAGTATATGCTAATAGGTATGACCTACTAAGCTAGAATGCATTATTTTCAGGATGTCACTAATTTTTAAACAAAAAATAGTTTCCATGTCTTTGGTAGGTAATGAACTCTATCTCTCACAAAAGAAAAGTTTTAAAACCCTGCTGTTTTAGAAAACTAAATCAATAAGTAACATTACCACTAATATTTTATAAATAATATTAATAATATTTTGTAAAAAGAATAGTATTCCACGGTGAAAAATTTGTTTATTCTTTTGAAAATTCAGAAATGTGAAAACCTGCTTTTTAAGCTAAAATATCTATTTTATTGTATATTTTGATAATATAAAAGGATAATTAAAGACATGGGCTATTGGAACCAGGCTGACATGATCTGAACTCTGATTCTGTTTCTACATATAGTGAAAAAATCAATAATCTTATGTAAGTCAAAGACTCTTTCTTTTAAAGTACAATTATTCATCACAATATAGGTAAAATAATCTGTGAAGGAAAGAATACTAAGAAATCGTATATGTTAAATTGAATACGAAATCTGTAGAGAGCATGAAAATAGAATAAAACACATTTTGAAAGCCTCAATATTCAGTAAATTAAACATGTTTCCTTTGGTCCCCATCAAATATCAATGTTTTATTCTCTAAATTTCCATTTCTCATAGATTCATTGCATGGTTCTTCAAAATACTGCAACTAATATATGTTTATATATTCACAAAGATTCACAAGCCCTCCTTCATCCTTCTATATGGATTTTTTTATCCTAAGATGAGATTGGTTGAGTTTATGCTGTGTAACTTTCTTCACTGATTATATTTATATAAAATATATGAATAATACTGTTTCTAAATAAGCACGTATTTCCTATTCAGTATGCTCATGCAATATTTTTCCTTTTATGTATTCCTAATCATGTATTTTTAGTAGACAAAATTTTAGTAGACACAATTAGCAATCACTAATGGTGGAGAAATTTTCAAAAGCTGAGTCATATTTCAATATATCTCAATGTTAAAACAAAGAAGGCACTAAAAATACCTTACTTTTTGAACTACTGAAAATTCAGCAATCTGAATGTTAATATTGATTTTGTCAGTTTAATTTTCCTCAAATGATAATCTTGAAAACAGAAAACCTATTTATTTGTCAAATATCCTCTATGCTTGATTTTGGACATTTGCATTACAAAATTTTGGTTCTCTTGCTGATAACCAATTCTCCTGGTTTATTTCCGAGAAATCTGTATTTATCTTAGAATTTCTGTGAGGTATAAAAAAATGTGTGACTTCCGAAACTTGATTGTCTCACCTGCAAAAGTATAGTGAAGTGTTATCTTAAGTATGACTAGCCTTTCAGAATTTTCTAGTTAAAAAAAAAAACTAGTATTAAATTAGTGTCTCTATACAGGCATAATATTTCTTGATGGATTGATAATTGTAACATCCATAAAGTTGTAAATACATGCATAACATAAAATATATACAGAATATAATCAAATTATTTCATGTGATTTTTTAATGGGAAAAATTATTCATTAGAAATTTATTTGAAAATTTTGAATGATGACATAATTAATTTGAATTAGAAATATATATGAACTTCATGAATGGTTAGCAATTTCTTATATAAGAAATTAATTTGGTATATCTTTCCTGAAGGAGCTGTACATCTTTATACAGTACACATAATTTCATTTATATTATGTGAAATTTATATTATTCTTAGATTTTTCAGTGCTAATGACTGCAATACTATATATATTTTGCCCGTAAATAATGTGCATCTACATTAAGAGAATATTTTATTAAAATAATAAAAAGAAAAATTTTCAAATGCATTATGTTATTTGTTACTCACATTGTGACTATTTGTTTTAAACCAATAACTAATTATACATAAATTTTTCATAGTGTAAAAGGATAAAAAGTATGATGAAGTATATGTACCTGCAATTATTCAAAGCAACACCTACTCTTTGCAGACACCACATATTTTTATACACCTTAGTATTTCTTTAAGTTAGTACTCAAGTTTTATGAAACCTATAGTGCTATTTACAAAATTAACTGGGATGCCATTAATGACTTTAATGCCAATAACTTTAAAATTCTTGGTTTTTAACTTCAACAAAGTAAAAATTTAAAATTATCAATCATAAACAACCAAGTAAACAAGTCCGTATTTTCTTTTTATTGATCACAGGATTACTTTTACAAGCTTTTCCTTAGTGAAATCTGAAATAATTCTCTGCTTGATTCTTAAGCTGCTCTTCAATATCCCTCCACCTATTTATGAATAAAATGAAAAATGTATAAAACATTATTTAAGTTATACAGATAAATTTTCAATGTAATGTCAGTCAATATGTGCTAAATATATAAAATATTCAAAATATCAAAATGATATAAATAAGCAATATACACTCATTTTAGAATATTACAAAACAGGAGGAAATTTTTTCTTACTCATTGCAGTATACGAAACTCTTTGCATGAGTAAATACACCATGTAGAGTATAGCAGCATGTAATAAATTTATAATGAAAATGATGTGAAATATGAGTGTGGTAGAATTCCTAAATATACTGTTCATAAACATTTCAAACAAGGAAAAAATCAAATTAGTGTGAATTAAACATGAATACATAATATAAATTACATACATTACTTTCATGAAGAAATGAACCTTTCATAGGTTAATAAACTTTCCAGTTGACTTTTCTTAAAGTAATACAAAATTATGTGAGAAATGTATGAGTTAAGAAAAAGTACACTTCTCAACAATTAATCAGTGGCACCTTGATTAGTTTTATTAGTCTGCTTTATTTACATATAATCATACACAAATTAAAATTTTTATTACAAAATAAGAGTGGGACGCAGGAGTATAGCTTAAAAGCACAGACGAGCTTAAGAAGCACTAGGTCTTGAGTTTGATCCCTCATGCAAAAAAAACCCAAAAATCAAGAATAGCTTTTATTCTGAAGAACACAATAAAATATTTCTCTAGAAAATCGGTAAGGGTGATTTGCTCATTTGCCAAAAATATTACAAAATTGTGATGGTTATTGTAGAGTCAACTTAAAAAAAATTCCTACCAGATTATTTAGCCCAATTTTAGATGTGTCTGGGTGATCCTCTTGTAAAAGAGGAAAGAACCACCTGCAGATGTGTGCCAGGAATCAATTGACTTGTAGCGTACATGGAAGGGGAAAGATGAAAGAAATATTGATTTAGTTTCTTCCAAGAAACTCATCTTGCAATCACCTTTGGACACCTCCAGGCTTCCTGAACAGACTCTTCAGCCTTCTGCGCCAGACTCTTTGGCTTTCCGATATTGGCCTGCACTTGACCATCATGAGCTTCAGAGCTTATGTTAAATCTGTTCCATTACTGATTCCTAACTGATAGAAATATCAAGTATTTCTCCTAAATGTAATGACTGTTTGTTAATCACTGTTTTGAAAACAATAATTTTATAACAATATTTGAAAAATAAAAATAAATAATACAATACTAGAAGTCTAGTAGTAGTAAGCCAAAAGTTTTGTCCAAAGGTGCCCTTGATTAATTGTTAAATGCCACATGTTGTTTGGCTAGCATTTCAAGGTACTGACTTTTTTCAGTGCCCAGGTTGTCACAGCTTGCATATAAGGGTGTGTGTGTGTGTGTGTGTATTTGTGTGTGTTGTATATGTGTGTATATAAAACCCAGACAATACCATTTAATATTAAGAATATAGTGAAGGGAATAATATTGAAAATATTTCCATTCTGAGATAATTTATCCTTTTATCAATTCATTAGTTTTTTTATCAATTCATACATCAAAGTATAGAATCTAGATCTAATCTTACAACATATAGTCATTGATCAGTATTTTCAGGATTCTTTTCAGTAATCCAGGGGGTACTACAGTAATTCTGAAGGTGTTCAAATTCCTTATATATAACTGGAATTTATCAACTTATGTATTCTAGTCTTCTTTAAGAGTGCATTTTAAATCATTTCCTGATTACTAGATTAATTATCAATTCTAATGTAATGTAATAATTAAAGATCCCCACTATATTTTAGAAAATATTGAAAAGAAAAATGTACATGTTAATTACCAAAATAGTTCTTATCAAAAACTCTTTTAATCTATACTTAATTGAATCTATAGCTATGGAAGCAATGGCATGGAAACCATATTTAATTCACCTATTTAACAAAATTAGTATGTAAATTAAATTTAAATTATTTTATCAAACAAATCACATTAGAAAAACTAAGTATGAAATCACTTCAAATTTAATGAATTTTCAGAAATCAACTCAATGAAAATCAATGTAAATTTAATATCTAGTTAAAGTAATCTGAGATTGTTAACATGAGGAATGTTTGTGATATTTGCTTTCAAATATAATTTCCGTGGCAATAATACTGGTACACCACAAATGAGTTTCTAGTAAATTTAAAAGAAAGATGTCAATATCAATTTTGATATTACTGTTAAGTTTTGTAGTTGAAACCTACTATACAGGCTATAAGTTGACTATCTTTAAATTTTCACTAATATCGGTCATTTCAAATTTGAAATATGCTTCTATATTACAGTTTTTTTTAACATGGCTTTGTTGTGCATCACAAAAATGGGAGTAGTACAGTTTTTGTCTATAGATAATCACAATAAGAATTTTATATTTCTTTTATTTTTAATAAAATGAATAAAAATGATGTTATAGCTTTTGCACCCCAAATGTGTAAAAGCAACAACCGAAGTGTTAGATGTTTTAGAAACGTCTATCCTTATTTCTGTAATTATATAGTATTCTGCAATCTATATAACATTTTTCACCTTGAAACATGGAAATGCATATATCCAGTTAAAATAGATCACTATACCTATGTGCAGGTATCTTTCTGTTCCCAACAATCAGAATAACATCACAGAGTTGTTGTTGTTTCAGGTAACTTTCCATTTTTCTGAAGGTTTGTTCAGCATGGTGAACGGCTTGGTAGAATTCTTCAGAACTGCTGGAGTCCAAATCACTCTGAGGTGTCAGTGAATGGCTGGTTGTTGACAGCCTGTAAAAAACATACACAAAAAAGATTTTGTTTCTGAAAGGTATGGATTTTCCACATGTAGATTTCTTTAAATTTACCATTTGTCTTTATTAGTTACCAGATGACAAAATCAGGTAACACAAGTCTAAAAATTTTAATTTACTTCAAAGTATTTTCTCTAAGAATAAATAAATGAAATGCAAATTTTATTTCTTGTGTCAAGAAAATATTTCAGTATACACTGTATTTATGTTAATTTAATAAACCTGAAAAAGACATATGCACAGTTAACTTTTAGCATATTTATTGTGAAATTAACAATGAAATTATAGTGGGTTTTAAAAAAAGACATGGTATATTTAAACAATGGGATTTTGCAACAATATGGATGAACTTTAAGAATATTATTCTACTGAAATTACTAGGGCTCAGATAGTCAAACAATCCATCGCCTTCCTCATGTAAGGAATCTAAAATCATTCATTTCATAGAAATAGAAGGCAGAATGTTGGTCACCAGGAGCTAGAGAACAGAGGAGGGAGGTAAGAAAGGGAAAAGGTTGATCCACAGGTATAAAATGATAGTAAGACAGGAGGAAAATGTTCTGGTCCTCTGTTGTTGAATAGGGTGAGTATAGTCAACAAAGAAAGTATTTTCTATTTCAAAATAGTTATTTGATAGGGTTTTGAGTATTTTATCACAAAGAATTAATAAACATGTTGATAGATATGCTAAATATCCTGATCTCTCTGTAAGTGCGTATATATGTATGAAAACTACACATTGTTACCCTATAGACTCACACAGTTATATACTAACAGGATATTAACTTAAAGATGACCAACAACTAAAAAGTCACAGGATAATTGAAATCAAAATTTTACTTCTTAATTTAGAAGTAAATGAGTATTTAGAAATCCCTAAAAGACAAAAGCAAATAAAAAGAAATGTTCTCTAACTTATTTCATTAGGCAAAAACATTGTATTAATACAAAATTTGACAAGTATATTGTATAGAAGAAAAATTACAGGTCATTCTACTTGTTTAGCATATTGCTGTGAATCTCAAGCACAATATTAGCAACTGAAACCAAAATTATGACTAGAAAATGGAAATTAATCTTAACTAAATTGAACTTAATTAAAAATCACCTTTTAATTTTATAAAGATCTAATACATTTATTTTGCAAGCACATACACATTACTTAATTGAAAATTTTTCCTCTTTGAATTTCAGAATGCAGTCCATTAAAAATATTTCTGAGAAATACTTGTTAGTATAATATACAGATTAATAAATCTATTATTTTAGATAAGAAAACATTTATTGATATTATTTATAGAAGTTATTTGTGCACATAGAAATCCAAAATAATTACAGAGAAACTAACAATTCTGGACCCATTAAAATCATATATATTCTATTATATACAGTATTTGTCCACATTTTTCTCTAAATATTTTAAATGATACAAATTTTGCTTTACTATATGTTTATTATTCACAGATTTGTAAATTACAACTCTAGAATTTGGTCATTCCTTGGGTTATATTTTAGGAACTTAGGCTCAAGAATAAGTAGCAAGAGCAGCATACTTTTTCCACACCTTACCATATGAAACAATCACAAAATGTACTGTAGTGTGTACTTTTAAATCAACATATCATTTGTATTCAGGTACCCAGGGAAAACTGAGGAAGAACTGGATAGTGGCAGATAAATGAAGACTATCCCCAAACTAGCTCTTCATATTTCTAATATGGTACCCAGAATGCATCAACAGTGTCTAAAATTTGAGATAATAGAGAAAAATTTTCAAAACAACTCCAGATTAGTTTAAAAGAGGTATAAGATAAGAGCTCTATCATATTAATATTTACAAATTAAATGGAATATATGGGGCAGAAATTCTTACACTGAAATTAAAGTTTCATAATTCAGAAAAAATTATCAAAAATATAATTTCACATGCTTCAGTTTCAAGCTATTCAAGTTATAATACATGCAATATTCAAATGAGTAGTAAAATAAATAAAATAATATGATTTTAACACCTGCTAAAACGTAGGGAGCCACGCAACAGCCCCATTGCTGCCTCCGTCTCTCTCTCTCTCCTATGGGCACAATGAACCCGCCTACATTAACCATAATCCTCTCCTGCTTACATCACATACCCTGACGTGATGATGACCCTGTTGTATTTATCCCGTAGCCTCCTCCGTTCCCACCAGCCCGCCCTTGGCCTATAAAAGATGTGATCATTTCTGGAATAAACGGGGCTTGATCGGATTCTCTCGACTTGCCTCAGTCTCTCTCTCTAGTCTCCCCCATGTGTTTATTTAATCCCCGTGCCCCCTCCAGGTACACCCCACGGATTGATCCACGGGCCGGATCATAAGAACCTAGAAATAAAACAGTATGGTACATAAAAGAATTCATTCAAAGTCAAAGGCTAATTTCTTTCAATATTATGTCTCTTTAACTTAGTTATACTAGCCCATTTTGAATGTAATATAGATGGGAATGTTTTCTAGAAAATTTGTAACTAACTTAAAAGAATAAGCTTTAAATATCAGAGAGCTAGAAGCTGGACACCAAGACTAATTTTTTTTGTGATTTCATGCTTCACTTACATTTTTTCTAAAAGTTCTTATATTTCTAGCTCCCCCATATTATGTGAAAAGAAGTCACTTTTTATCCAATGTCATCTGATCTGTTAGATAAATTATCGTCTTGGTTTGCCTTGATTGTTTATTGCACATTTTCTCATAAATTGTTTCCTGATTTCAAACCTTGTTTGCATTTGCTTTCTTTGAGTTTTGATTTGGGATAAGATTTAAAAATTAGTTTCACATCTGAACTCACAATTTTTAAGCTAATTTTTTTATTCAGTTTCCTTTTGATCAAACACTCAACCTTACTTATGTAACCAGTAAGTGTTTAAAAGTGTAATAAACAAATACTAATATATTTAGCTTCTTCACTATGTCATCTTCAAAGTTTTTATAGTCTTTTCCAAAGACAGCCTTTAATATAATGATTTGGGACCCTAATTTTTGTTGTTATTATGGCCAAATAACATTAAACTTGAAATTGCAAGAATATAGAGTTTTAAAACTATAATGTGACTTCCTTCTATAATAATATAAGTATGCTTACAATCTTTCCCAGCCTAATAGTTAGCTTTGTATTGGCATGAAAAATACCTCATGCAAGTAACTGAAAGGAAGGAATAGTCCTAGGATTAGGTTTTCAGAGGTTTCAATCCATGATTGACTGACTTCCTTCTATAGGGCTGAGGAAAGGCTGAATATTATGGCAGAAAAGGGCTGCAAACAAAAGCTGTTCACTTCTTGATAGTCAAGACACAGAGAGAGGAGGAACAGCAGATCAATGCCGTGCCAAAATCATAATTCCATAATCTACTCTCTTCAATCAGCCTAGCTCCTGTTCCTACCAGTTCCCAACAATGTCACCAAATTGTGATCTCGTCAACAGGTTAATTTAAGAGATAAGTTTAAAGCCCTCAGGATCCAATCGCTTCCCTAAAATCTCCTCAGCTAATGACCAAGCTTTAGCACATGACTTTATAGTGACATTGCTGATACAAAGTTGACACTGATAAATACCAAAAATAGAATATAGAAATATTTTATTTTATCTCATGAGCCATAATTATAATTTTACAGATTCTTCCACACTCATCTATCTTGAAAGTGTTGTTTTACTAACTAACTACAATTCATTATACCATCCAAACACTTCTCAATCCTTGCATTCTGATTTCCGTGATTTCCCTGAACACAGAGTAAAGAAACTACTCTTAAATTTTTTAAATCTTTAGTTTTTCTTAATTGTTGAGCAAAGGTAAGGGTACTTGCCTGTTCCCATACTAAGCAGTTCAGGATAAGGCATGCTTTACTTTTTCTGCAGCAGTCAATCCCAAAATAAAAAGTGTTTCCTATGCTATGCTAAATAGTATTCATGATCAAGCAGAAGTGATTTAGAAGGTAATTTAGAAGGTAATTAACAGCTAAGATATTTCATTCTAGACAAATATCGAAAAGTTATTTCTAAAAATCAACAATTCCTCAGATGTTTCATTTTAAGACACACTAATTAGCAATTTAGCCATAATTTCTCCTTTTACCAAATCCATATCATGTACTGTGAGTTGTTATGTGATTTAGTATTTTCTTTAACTTACTACATTTCATATTGACATAAAATTTTGCTCACTAAGCACAGTAAGTTCTAGTTTGTTCAATATGTCATGCTCTTATTTCCTTTCATTATTTATTTTACAGGTATTTTTTCTTGACCTGGAGGCATCAATCACAGCACACTGATAGCATATCTAACTATAATCCTTTTGAGTAAGTTTAAAAAACACTGCATTTGGAATTTTTAAATTTTTGATATTTTAGAAGGTTGGGATTATTCTGACATGTTTCAAATATGGATTTATTGAAACTATTGTACTTAGAAAATTTCAGGAGATCATTATCTCTTTTGAATGGAACAAATGAAAAATATTGCATGCGAAGATGGTGTTGGTCTGGTTCTAATATTCTTTCTCCCTTTCTTTCTTTCTTTCTTTCTTTCTTTCTTTCTTTCTTTCTTTCTTTCTCTCTTTCTTTCTCTTTCTTACAGCACAAAATATGTTGTTGGAAAAAGCTACCATAAAAACATGAAGTGAAATTGCTTCACACAGTGTAATAATTAGTATACAGAGGACAGACAGCAAAGGCTTGTGCTGAGAATTGCTGTTTTTGAAAATCAAAACTGCAACTTCCAGAGTTCATGAATGAAAAATGTCAAATAAGTGCTGCAACCAGAAACATACATTTAGTAGCATTTCTCTGCCAGTGCATTGATGTGTGCTGTGAGAAACTAAGACAGCATATATATTAAAGAGAATAGTAAAAATAATCCCTATAAACCAACAAAGTATGTTTATTTCAAACAAAGACATTGACAACAACCAAATTCTGACATTATGATTTATTTCATGAATAG